CTATCATTAATTGATCCGGGTTTAAGTCACGCTATAAGCATTAAGAAACTTATTTTAGTAGAAAACGTTTGGTCAAGTGGTTTAATGGGTGGGACAAGTCGGGACAGGTTTAATAGGTTTGTGACAGGATGGCTTTGGGATGGGTTTGGAATTAGGGATACATAGGCGGGTTTGGGAATGGGTACGATAATTTGCACGAGTACCCTACCTGTTGCCATTCCTAACTACGACCCATTTGGCCCTTTTTATTGGTTAATAACAAACTTACCATTTTTCAAGTGTCCTTAAATATCCTTAGTATTCTCTGATATTCTTCATTTTTTTCTTGACTGTGATACTATGGCAAGTGGCTTATAGACATTTGTCTACTAATGAGGGGTAATTTGGCCTGACCTGTTAGCATGTGGACACATGGAACGACCTGATGACTGGATGATAACTCAGCACTTACGGCCACCTCAGCAGGATAGGTCAGCTCAGGCATCTTTGGCACCTCAGCCAAGACGAAGGTCCGAGTAACTCGTGGTGTCCCGACCTGTCATGGTGCCACCTAACCCACTTCTAGAAGCTATCTACTTGTCTCCGACCTTTTCGGGAAGCTATCTACTTATCTCCGACCTTTTCAGGATATTTCTTGATCCAATCCGATTGTATATGTAAACGACTCTTAACTTGATTTTAAAAGTGTACTAATATTTAAAATTTTAAATTGAACAAAATTCGAATCCATTTTTCACATATCCATTACATATGGAATCAAATTATAACCATGGTGGGCACGCTTAATGATTTTTCACACATCGAGCATTATATAGGGATTTGGCGGACCTTAGATCATGTCACGTAGCATCAACCAGATCAAATTCTGTCCACACATCACCAATTGCTTCCAACCACTACCAATGTAAAATTAGCTATAAAATGGGGCACTTCAAGGTAAGGATCCAGATGACGATTCTTGCACATTAAGGATTAAGCTCTCAACTCTTGTTTTCTGTTTGGTCCGACCCCTCTTTTAGTATTCGACTAACTTCACCGTCGGAATTTCCGCCCGCTAACACGCAGAACCTCTAATGTGTACTCTTCTTTTATTCTAAAGCTTCAAAACAGTCTGCTCAGAGCAATGGGTTCAATGGTGTCAAAGAACTACTATTTGTGTAATAAGTTGAAGCGTCAACTATGTAGCTTCATAAAACGCTATTAGATGGTAACGAGTTAACGACCAGTCAAATATCAATATGATGGTGCATGAGACTATTGTTAGACAATTTTGTATGCCCTTAGCTTCAACCAGAATGATGTACTTTATGAGTTTATTGTAAATGAATAAAGATACATATTTGATTCATGTTCCCTTGGTATGTTTCTGTGTAATACCCTTAAA